TCCGGCAAACAATTTCAAAAATGATGAAGTAAGAATAAAGTAAAAATGATTTAGAGCCACACAAACTTCACCACATTTGGTCAGACAATCTTAGTGGAAATTCCCAAAAAAAATGGGACAATCTTAACGGGACAGAGGAAGTATTAGTATAATGTGTCAACATTAATTTTTTTCGTCTGGGGTCTCCACTTTCCTAAGGCGGGCCCAGTTAATCTGACTATCTTTAAAGATTCCTTTTAGTATGTTATTTTTTAATTTGATCTTGGGGTGAGTGAATATATCTTAAATGTTGAGTACTTTCCATAAAGCCAATAAACCTTGTGTCATACTTGTGGAAAAAACAAACGATAAGTGAGCTAAAATAATGTATAAAAGAATCAAAATAAATTGAGAAACATGGTTGTCCACCATATGAAAATCGTAAGATATAAGGTGAATATCATATATGAGAGACTAAACGTGTGAATTAGAGATATTTAATCTTATATTGTCCTCTAATCCTCCTCTCTATCTTCCCTAAATTAACTCTACACTTTTTTAACCATAATTATCCATCATTTACATTACTTCTCATGAGTTTCTTTTTTATCTATCCCTAAATTTGAAACATATAGTTCACTTTTTCTTAAAGTCAAGCTTGCATAATGAATTAAGATGGAGGTAGTATAAAGCTTCTTTTGCAAAATGTCAAGAGGTCTATAAATAGGTGATAAAAAAGTTACATGCAACGTGGAGGATGTTTCGCGGCAACCCAACTCCCCACATCACACGACACACCGTGTTGTTCGTAATTCACATTGCTATTGTACTTTGTTTTATAGCCACTGACCTCTTCCATATTTTAATCATATATATGAACGAACTTGAGATCCATCCCCGACCTAAATTACATATCTAACACTAACCATCTTAGTAAGTTAGTATGTAATAAATTTTTCATAAAGCAAATTGTGGTATTCAAAAAGGAAGCAATTCAACGTTAGAATATACTAGGGCACCTCAAAGTTGGAGGCAATTTTGGTTTTTGTGAAATGCGATTTGGATAGCTACTCCAACCAGGTTTGCCACAAAGTTGTGCTCCAAATAACACAAGTAAGTGAGGTTCATTCATAACCACTTGTCCTCCTTAATCCCAATCTTGTTGTGACTTGAATCAGACTTATTACACTTTGCAACAATTATTCATTGCACATCTCACCCCATTTAAGTTGTAAATAGATTTTAACTAGATTCAAAATCTAATTAAAAGATATCACATGTTTACTTACATTACCAATAACATGAAAATTTCATAAAATTTAAAGACATCTAATTAATTTTATTTTGTTGTACGTCTTTTGCTTTTGCTCGCTCAAATCTCACCAGCTAAGATCTGACCCCTTAGATGATGAAATGAATCATCTTCCTCCTATTCGTTTTCTTCTCCTCGAACCCCTTTCTTTACTTATCTTTGACATTTTTCATTATTTTTTGTTGACTTAGTATCATCATCAATAACACTATTATGTCTCCTTTCTAATCAAACTTTCTGTGATTGTGTTATCATCGGATTTTGATTTTTGGATTTTGTGTATGTAGGATTTCGTTGAGACTACAATGATACCAGTAATATCAGAGTTGATAATCTAATTATTTCAATAATTCAATTAATTTGATAGATCAAACATTGATAGCACGTCCGTCCCACGGAACTTTGACACCTTTCCTGGGATTACTCATTCGAAAAAACTATAATTTCCACTTTTAAGTAATAAATATATGGTAAAATTATTTGAAAACCAACTTTAGAAAGATAAAATAGACTATTTAGAGTGAGCTAAGCCAGTAAATGAGTGGGCTGATTTCTCACAGTGTCCTTTCCTTCATCGCCGAGAACATGTTGTCCAGTTTTCTTTTCCAGATGAGGGTTTGAAACTTGGTGATAGTTTCCTTAAACAATTTTGACCTCAATGCTCCTCAGATTCTTTGGCTACGATGGCGGCACCTTCTTCTTAGATATCTTTCCCAGATCCGCATTTTCCGGCAACACAAACTTCCCCATGAACTTGCCCACCCGCCATGCCGTCCTCGCATGCTTGACCCCCTCCTTCCCATCCGCCTATCCCTTTTGCTCCACACATATAGTCATGAGTTCATGACATTGTCACTCGATACGTAGCTTGATGTCACCAGACTTCAGCCCGCCCACATCGATTATGAAGATGTACGTACGACCAAATGACTCCTTCTCATCCGCCTCATGTTGTGGATGAGGAATCAAAGAAACCAAGAGGCAATATTGTCGCCATTGGAAAGCATGAAGGTCGACGACGGATTGGTTCTGACAAATTTCACATCAAGTACCTTTTATTTGACGTACTGGGTTCTTTTGCATTAGCTTTAGTTATGTTAACTTCAAACATAATACCAAATTTGACCCATGATTATGACGATTTTGAGTGGGAAATTTAGCTGATTTTTCATGCCTTCCAGACATACTCATATTTTCATTCTTCTATGATGCGTTAATGTTCTTAATTACGTTCCTCTCATTTGGCTAATTAACTATTCATGCAGATTCATTTTTACATGAGTTGAACTCCTTTTGCTACACATGCGGATTCATCAATTGTGCATATTTATAAATTTTATTCGTTTATCTTTTGTTTGAAATTTAATTCTTAAGTTTCCTTCAATTGTGAATTTGCCTATATTCTAATGAAAAAACTTTATTGTCGAAGGCTTTGAGTGACAACTTTATGGGAATAAAAACAAGTAGCCTGTATGACAGCTTGATGCGCAAATGATTTGTGGTGTAAATTTGTGGTGTAATTTTATTTATGAATTTTTATCTCTCCAGAGCCTTGCCCAAAATTTTATTTATTATTTATTACTTATTACTTCCTTCGTCCCATTGGTCAAAACATGATCACTGTATTCACTGCAACATTTCATTGTTGACGTGGTTAGAAAACTATAAACTCATTGAAGCGGTAGCTTAGTTGGAATGTGTAAAGGTATATTACAGAAGACATTAGTTTCAGAACAAATAAAAACATTGCTCGGCTTTAGATACACAATAAAGATATAAGACATCAATAATAATTACTCCGTATTTAACAAACTAGCCTTTCACCCGTGCGATGCACGGGTAGAATATTTTGCTCAAATATTTATACTAAAATGATAGTTCATATAAGTAAATAACAATATTGTTATACAGTAATGGCAAACATAATGTCAATTTATACATATATTATATTGCAGTGTAATTTCGACGGATACGAATAAAGAAAAAAATATACTCCCTCTGACCGTAATTTAGAAGAATAAAGAATGAATGATTTAGAATCACACAAATTTTACTAAATTTGGTATGAGATCATCTTAGTGGTACAGATCGAAAATGAAAATAGGACAATTGATATCAATCATATAAACCCAATTTTAACAAGGGAAATTTCCCGAAATAGGACTAAAACAGTTTGAAAATTCCAAAATGGGACTATCATGTTTTTTATTCTCAAAATAGGACTAATTATTTAGAAAATACTGTCATGTTTAAAGTCTGGTACTGCCAAAACATGGCAGTAATTAGTCTTATTTTGAGAATAAAAAACATAGTAGTCCTATTTTGGAATTTTCAAACTATTTTAATCCTATTTCGGGTAATATTTCTTTTAATAACCGTACTACCGTTTCAAGTCTCAATGCATATGAATATTATGCATATATTCATTTGAAATCACCTGTATGGATTTGGATTAGACAGAGGACTGAGTAATTTGGATGAGTGAAATCTTCATTTGTTGGAAGTTTCAATCATTTGAGTCTTGATACTTTTTTTTGAAATATTTGAGTTTTGAATTGATTAATCGTAAACCATTTTTGTAATATGAATTGCAATCACTGCTTGAACTCCACTATCCGAAATAATAAAACACCTTGTGCCTTGGAAGTAATAAATCTTTCTAGTTAATTTTTGCCGTGTATTAATAATTTCTCAAATTATGTAAGTAATGATGTGGGGGTGGATGTTTAGTTTCTCACCGAGGAGATGTTTTGGCGGCAACATCCTCCTTAAGATTTATTATATTTTATTATTTTTTTTTTTTATTATTATTATTATTATTATTATACTATTAATTATTAATTAATTATAATAAAATAATAGTTATAATAATAATTAAAATAGTTATTAATAGATATTATATTATTACTCCTTCTGTCTCATTCTACAATTTTCATTTTCATTTTTGGAACGCCCAATTTAAAGTTTCATATTTCTATTTTAGGAAATAATTTATACTCTTAAATGACAATTTAATCATCAAGTATTCAAAATAATACATTTATAGCATCATAGTTAATTACAATCGATAACCCCCATTATATTATATAATTATCAAATTTATTTTTCAAAATATACTCGAATTATCATATTTAATTATTCAAAGTAAAGCCTTTATTTTGTTCACTTTTTCAAAACTATATTATTTTTTCCATATAATCTGGGATTGTAATGTTCTTTTTATTTTTCTATCTCACTTTATGTTCCACCTGAGAAAATCTGGAGTTTATTACGATTGCAGATAATTTTATTCAGAGTTTCAAACTGTATGATTCTCCACAAACCCATTAATGAACAATTTTTTCCAAAATACATTCATATATTATGTGTGTGTGTGTGAATATGAATTACTTATATATACGCTTGTGTACAATCTCATACTCGTATTTAAATTTCAAGATTCTTGAGGTCTAAACTGCGTCATATTTTTAGAAGGTGGACATATATAATATATTTATAAACCAAAAATACGAAGTATATTTATAAACCTTAAAGAACCCTGCTTATTTATTGTAGACCTCTTCTTATAATGTTATACTAGTATTTTCACCCGTACGTTGCACGGGAGTGAAAAGGCCATTTTAATTTATTCGATATTAATATATATTTTCTCCCAACATGGGCTAAAACATTATTATATATTATTTTATAGTAATTTAATTATTTTCCTAAATGAATGCATAACATGTGTCTTTTGATTTGAAATAAAAAGCTCTCAATTTTATTCAAGACAAAATGTAATATTACAAATTGTTAAAGACCTCTTTGTATACAACATTTAAAGTGGAGTTTGTCGGTCTACCATTATCGTCACATATCAAAAACTTCAAACCAGTTGGACTCGTGACTCTTGATACAGCAACATAAAGCTGCCCATGGGTGAAAACAGGTCGCCGTAAGAATATCCCCATATTTTCCAATGACTGGCCCTGACTCTTATTTATAGTCATAGCATAACTAACCATCAGAGGGAATTGTCTACGCTGAAAGGTGAATGGCAGTCTGACATCAGAAGGAGTCGAGGTAAGACGGGGAATGAAATGTTTTTGGCCGGCAGTTGGCCCTGACAACATTTGGGCCTCAATAACATGCTTTCCAAGTCGGGTCACTAAAAGTCGAGTGCCATTACACAAACCCAATGATTGATCAAGATTCCTCATAAGCATCACAGGGGCACCCACTTTTAATTTGAGCTCATGGCTAGGTACTCCGGAACATTTGATTCCATTAAGGAATTCTGGAGAATGGATCTCTTGCAACAAACTACTATCAGAATCAGATAATGATGCAGAATCGGAGCTGAAATATGTCTTCATCTCTGATGGTAGTTGTGCGAGCATGTAATCATTAACCTTGTCCACCTCGTCAAGTGTTGGCGCAAGTATTGCTCTTGACATTAAATATGATGGTGATGTGCATTGTGCTAAGAAATTGGGATATGTACTCTGGACAATAGAAGTAACTGGATCAGAAATCCAAGGCACGAGGAATTCTTCAGGTATGTCAATATATGATTCTCCATCCTCATTGTCACCTAGAACTCCGTCCCCTATCTTTAAAATCCAATCAATGAACCTTTTTATGTATGCAGAGTTAACATCGTCTGATCCACTTCGCACTCTCATGTTCTTCGTTAGCCTTAGTACCTTGCAAAAGGGCCAAATGAAGGATGAGTTTAAAGTCGCCGGCACAATTTCTTGCCTGCTACCCTTTGGAATTACCGGTAAAATCTGTCTAAAGTCTCCGCCAAAGACAATTGTCTTTCCACCAAAAGGTTTGCTCCCATCACAACCGTATGAATGTCGAAGAATATCCCGCATGGTTCGATCAAGAGCTTCATAGCAGTACTTATTAATCATGGGTGCCTCGTCCCAAATAATCAATTTCGTCATTTGAATTAGCTTCGCAAGTGCACTTCCTGGCTTTATGTTGCAAGTTGAATCTTCTGCTGCTGTGAGTGGGATTTTAAACCTAGAAGTTACAATTCATTTTGTTAGTATTTATTTGGAGTTATAAGTTTTAAACCAAAAAAGCGAACCTGGAATGTGCCGTTCTTCCACCTGGAAGGAGCAATGATGCGATCGCACTTGAAGCTACGTTCAACACAATATTTCCTTGATGCCTTATATATGTTGATAAGGTCTTCCACAGATATGTTTTCCCTGTACCGCCGTGCCCATATAAGAAGAACACACCGCCACGGTTGGCCTCTACAGAACTCACTATTGTCTCATAAACACGCCTTTGATCCTCCGTCAAGGCGGAAATTAATTTAGCATGTTCCTCCGCCAAAGCAAGTCTGTCATATCTCAATTCCTCGTGTATCAAAACATCATCCAGAGAGGGAATGTCAAGATCCGTCACTCGAGGCATTCCGTCATAGTAGAATAGAGACTTTCCACGATGTTGTAGAAGTTTTTCAACTTCCAACAAACAATAATTCTTAATTTGCTTCTCATCAAGCTGCAGTTCTGTAAAAAACATAATGGTTAGTGCAATTTTAATATTAATAAATTTAAGAAGTAATTAGAATATTTTTTAAATTTCTAAATGCTTAAATAATTAAATTTGTGTGTATCATAAACAAACAACACATCTTTAAATATGATGTTGTGGAAACAAATTATTAAACCAACTACTATCTAAAAAATAGTTTATTAAATTATATATATTGAACTATTTTTGAACACTTTTTAAGAGAAGTACTTCATATTTAAAAATTATCTATGACATAAGAGTAAATTTTACCCTGAGATCAATATGCAATTTATTACAATAAAAAGTTTCAATTTTTTGATATTAGTGAATAATGATCGTTAACTATAATATATATGAAAAGGTAATTTTTAATTTCAAAATATCTTGCATATTGTAAATCTACATCACTCTTAATATTGGAATTTATTGAATTTATCTAAATTTTAGGAATGCCATTAAATAATAAACATACCTTGATCATTGAGATTCTTCCTAATAGTGTAGAGTATATCATCAGATAGATATGGCCAACACTTCTCCCAAACCATACTGGGCATAGATAATGACTCTTGTAGTAAAAGATGAACAAATGTGACGCGAAGTTCATGCGCTGTTGCCCAATGACTTTGTTCTATAAGTCCATCTATATAGTCTTTATCGTCATTTAACATACTACGTGCAGAGCAAGCTTCTCTGAACGTCGAGTGTATGACTCCATCAACTGTTCTGAGTTCTTCAAAACTCCTGGCCCCCTTCACGACACCAAGGAGCATCCTTAAATAATATTTCTCTCCGGCTCCAGGTCGCATGAAGTATAGTCTTCCAATTGCGGTGCTTCTTTGTCTTGGTACCCACTCTCTTGTTTTGGTTTTCCACATGAACTTGGTAGGAAATTCAGCATAAGTCAAGCTCCTAGCTTGAGGATACACACTGTTTGCATGCATCCAAGCTAGAAACTTAGTAGTGTGGATAGTAGGACGTCTAAGAACAGAACTGACAGACTCTTTAGGATTATAGTACACACTATGTTGCCCAGGGAGATGAAAGCTTAGACGTTCAACTGCGACGTCCCTATAATGAATGTGAAATCCAAAGATTCTCCAAGCCGCTTCACATGCAGAGATATATCTACAATCGTAATACATTTTGATCTCATCAACCTTTTCTGCCTTACGATTGTCGGATGCCTCAGAGAATGCTACTGTGATCCGATCATTACCCTTATTAATGTACTTGAAGAGGTATTTCACTGCCCGGGTTTGATTACACCACTCAACATTAATGTGAGCCCCATACTTGAGCAGTAATGTACGGTTATGAGGGATGACAAATCTATTGTCAAGAAGAGTCTCATTCTTCATTACACTCCTTCCATTGTCTCTTCTTCTGTAAATGGGAAATCCACTTCCATCAATTGTAGTACGTCTCACAAATTTCTTCGGAAAGTGTTTCGTGCAGTGACCATTCTCCATACACGGCGAAGATTTGTTCAGAACCCCACAAGGCCCGTGCACCATTAACTCTTTGACAGCAACATAATAATCATGGTCATTTTTCTCATCCGGAATTTCAGCTGAGATGATGCTGTCAATGTCTGATGCCAATATAGTTGTGTCCTTTCGCGTCAACCATAACACAATATGAGCATGTGGCAATCCACGTTTCTGAAACTCCACAGTGTATACAACTACATAGGATAGAATTATTTATGTGTTATTTTGTCATTGGATGAAATTATAGTTGTTTATCTTGAAGAAAAGTATTAATAGTAATGTAATTAAATAAAACTTCACTAACTAATAAATAGAATCAGCTCATACCTGCTTTAACTTCACCGAATAGTCTATTTTCTTTCAAGTCTTTTATGAGCATTTCAAGTTTGATCTTGAAGATTCTACAAATGATATCTGGACGATCATCCGGAGCAAGTCCTCTACACTCGACGTAGCGAACAATCTCAGGCCACTTTGGGTTACATGTAAACGTGATGAAGAGTTGTGGGTATCCTGTCCACCTGCAGATGCTCATCGCATCCTGGTAATTTTGAATCATGTAACGTGCACTTCCCGTGAATGAGTTAGGAAGTACAATGAGTTGTCCCAATCTGGATCCGTCAGTTTCACCACGACCGACAGCATCAGCCAATCCCGTATATAGTTCACTTCGCAAGTCCTATTGATGTAGTCTAATATATGCCAAGCGACATGACTCAATCATGGTATATCCATCAACGATAAATTGCTGGAATAATCTCTTCGATCTCAATATGTAAGGGGACTCACTCTTCCTTTCTTGCAACCTGTATGAGAAGAACTCTTTCATTGTAACATGTTTTCTTCCTCTTGTGGTAGCTTGAGATGCACGTGTCAGGTTAACATCCTCTCTAAAACCATCTTGACCATAGGGGAAGAGTAACGGATATTGTAATCCTAGAAAAGAAGGATTCAGTTCTGATATAATTTGAAACTTTCCTGATTTCTTCTGAAGAACAACATCTCTCTCTTTTCGATTCAAACTAAAGTCCCCCTCTATAAGTGCAGCTACCTCACGAGCGGTAGGGGTATTGTAAGTACGTCCATCTGAATTCCTTTTACCAATAAGCTTCATCTTCAAAGAGATAGAGTTAGTCTCATTAAACCTATCACGGGCCATCCTAAATGACTGTGCGTGAACATTGTACGCATCCAACATATCTCGCAAATCGGATACTAATGTATCATGTAATGCTGTTCCACCGGAGGTCCTAAAATGCATATAGCCGAAATTGTTAATACTGAAATTGAAATTTTAATATAGAAAACAATTCATATATTGAAGGTAGTATAGTTTTAGTTTAAATAAAAAAAAAGAGTAACTTTCAAAAAAATGTATAATGATTAACTAACCTCATAGATGAGATTCTAGATGCAACCTCTTCTTCTGGATCAGTCAAATACATCTGTAAGAATTTGGGACGTTGTCCTTCATTTGGTATAAGACTACCGATCTTGTGGTAATTTTGACCATTCAATCTGAATATTGGAGGTGTTCCACCCCTATTTATATCTCTATCCGTTCTCCCACCCATCGAAGTGAACGAAAACATAGAATTGTAAGAACGAATGTTATCCAGAAAGTGCTTACTTCGATGCTCAGAGCGAAAAATGAGGTCATTTAAAATTTTAGGGGGCTGCTGCATGTTAGGGAGAACAACATTTCCTTGATTGCAACACATTGAAAACTTTGGGCGTTGCTTGACAGAATGTCTCTTTACCCTTTCAGCATACCAGAATAAGGCTCCACAATACTCGCACTCATGAGTAGCATCTCCAAGATCCACATATGCTACAAAAATTATTCATATTGAATATATATAAAAAATAAAGATGTTTCTCAACTATCAAAATGTGATTAAAAATAGAGTTAAAAATAGTTGTAGGGGTAAGTACCTTGTGTTTGAAAACACAAGTATTCAGCATTGTCATCTGTTCAAAATTGAATAATTAAAAATTAAAAATATCACAAACCAACAATTTAGGATACGAACACATTTCACACCGCAATAACATATATGTTCAGTGTGTGAAAATTTACTGTTACGTACCATTATTTTCAAATTCACCCAAGTCAACATCAATTGAGTCATCAAACATTTCTTCATCTTCAAACTCTGCAAAAATGACAAATTATATGTACACATTTACTGTGTTTAAGATTTTAGATGTAGGTGTGAATTAATATTAAATTTGATTGTTTGTCAATATAATACTATCCTTCGTTCTTAAATAGTTGCAATACTTTGACTTTCACGTTTGCCAACAAACAACTTTGACTGTAGTTATATAATTATTAAGTAATAATAAAAATTATAAAATGTTAATATTTTGAAAATTTACATTAATAGAAATTTAAAAACATTTTATACATAATAATTTGATTATAAATATTTGTAGAAAATCATAGTCAAAGTAATCTACGTGAATAGTGAAAAAATCCTATTGTTGTAACCTTTAAGAAACGAAGCAAGTATAGTATAATACGAAAATACTTTAGTGCATATATAATGTACGGAGTATATGGTACTCCCTCCGTCTCATTGGCCTTTCCCAACTTTCATTTTTTTGTTGTCCCAAAAAACTTTGTCACTTTCCGATTAAAGTAAAGAATTTATTTTTCTGCTCAACGTTTGAAGGCCTCTTTAATGTTGAAGAAGGGGTGGTTTGTATTATGATGTCGTCTTCAGTTGAAGATGGTGTCTACATGCAAACATTTGTCAATTAGGAGTGAAGAGTCAAACATATTCGGATGGATAAATAAACAGTAAGTACTTACTATATTAGATTCAACTGTGACTGGAGAAGAAAAAAGTAAATCAAGATCCTCATCAGAGTTATAGTCCTGAACATTTAAAAGGAGACCTCATTAAGATCCTCATCACAGTACACTCATTAAATTATATGAGCGTTGAATAGTCCTGCTTCAGAATACGTTTATTAAATTATTATAGAAATAACAATCAGCCTTTCAGGCTTCTTTGCTAAGAATATTTATTCAATCTAACATGTGAGTATGACATTTGATACTTATTCAGTAACTGGTTACATAACTAATTGGGAAAGGTACACATTTTTTTAAATTTCAAAAGAGCAATTTCAAAAGTTTGATTTAGTTACATGGAAATAATCAAAATAGAACTTTTCCTTCTGGGGAGTTCATTTCCTAAAAGCTTGGTTGTGTTGAATGCAGCTTGTCATTCTGGTGCTTCATGTGTGTTAAGTTAATGTACAACTTACATATAGTTTTAATAAATGTAATCGTAATTAGAATAAAAATGAAATCTATTAGAGTAGAGATAATTACTATTAACAAAGAGATACGTATTAAGAGAGAGTTCATAGACTAACCAAACTAATCTGCCCAATCATTCAGATAATCAACACATTATGATTACTCAAGTACACTTTATTTCGTTAAATTAAGAATGTAAGTTAGGATTCATCATATTTATCCAGGCAGTACTCCTTTGTATATGTTTTAAACACCAAAACTTTTGATGAATGTGTGTATCCAGAATCATCAAATTGATTACTTTAGGACTAATTGGGATTAAATTCGAAAAATAGGTGAAAGAATTTGCCTGAAGTTTCAAAAATTGTACTCAAGAAGACTACCTCTAAACTGGAGGTGGATAAGTTTTATATGAACCTGCGTTTGGCTGGGAACAGACCAAAGTTGCTATGAACAAACCAAAAGTGAAATTAAATACATTAGTAGTATAGCATATAAAATTTTAATGTCTAAAATTAAAAAGTTATTATAAAAATGAGCAAGTTCTTAGAAGAGTAGTGAACATGGAAAACGAAAGGAATAATATAATCAAGTGAAGAACTTACTGATTCTTGTAAATTTTGATTGAAGAAAAACGTGTGATATTTTTCACAATTTCCCAAGTAAAGTTTATCTCTACACTAAATCATTTTTCCAATAATAATTGAATACCTAAATGAATTTAATAGGATTATAAATTCATGTAAGTGCATATCTTGTGTACCATTGGTCAGTGTAAAATTACAGAGAATTGTACCTGTCTCCCAGACTGATTGGCTCCAACAGACTTAAGCTCCTCAATTTTATCTTGATCGGTTGAGACCATACCAATTGAATAACTCTTTCCGTTTAAAGGGGAGCCAGATTGACGGTCAACTTTAAAGACAAACTCACGACCTACCAAATCTTTTATTTCATCTGGGCAGCCTAAAGGTGATAGCCTCTCCTACACATGCAGAGTAATTGCACATATTGAAGTCGGATTTATTCATATTACTAAATTTAAAATCAAATCAAATGGATTTGCATTTGTAATGATAAAAAATTGTGCAAATTAAGTATACTGTGAGATAGCATTACCATGTCATAATAGTGACTGGGGAAATCTCCAGCAGATTTTCCAATCAAACGATTGCTCACAGCATCCCAGAAAACCAAATTTGCAGAATTATTGTTATGGTTAGCCTTGAGTCTTAAATTGTATCTCCAAACACCCTCTCCATCAGCAACTTGAATCCCACACTTGTCGCATACTAATTCTCCATTCCCAGCCTTGCTCAATTTTTTATAACATTTGGTCATTTTACAACCAAGATAAGCCCATGTGAAATAGCTTGTTATGGAACTTATTTGACCATAGAACCAACAACCACGAACCTATTATCACATAAAAGTGTACATATTAGCAGTAGGCACAATTTTAGTAACAGGTAAATTTATGTATTTTATGCACATCTGTATACATACTCAAATGAATCACTACATTCCAAATTATTAATTCTTGAGCTTATAATGATCTATTACCTTTTAAGAGATTAATGTTCATTTTTCAAATCACTAAGTTGTACAGATTTCATTTCAAAGTAGAATAACAACGTTGAAAATGTATTTTTGTTTACCTCGACTGCTTTCTCCAATTCAGACAATGGCATTGTGAAGCCAATTTCTGTACCGTTACCAACGGTTACTGGACCAAAAGAGGAACTGTGACTTATTGCTTGAGAAGTGTTACGTGTGGTTTCCAGATACCTATTACCAGAATAAAGATTTTAGTGCATTTTTAACCCAACATTATTCTATAATAGACTTGAGAATAATACATGTTGAAAGTGGTAACTAATACAAAAATATTTTAGATATCATTTTACCTAAGGCGAAAGTCTTCTATGTCTGGGACATGTGCATCAAGAAGAAGTTTTGTCACATGGTAAGATGTAGCTACACCGTTTGAGGAACATCTGCCTAAAACAGTCATATATTTGCATATGTTTTTATCAACTAAAAACTATAAAAATAAAAATAATGTCTCAATGATAAGAAATAGATGCATGTAATTAACCATATTTTGGATTAATACGGCACATCTGTAGCAAGATAACAACTGGATTTGTTCCCGGTTGAGATAAATACGTCTCAAACTGGTCCACATACACATTCCATAAAGTACAAAAGAGACTTTTATTCCTATAAAGAAAGAAGATAAGCGTAAGAATGAGAATGAAAGATAAATATAGATAATCTTAATAACATACAATTGGAAACGGGGCCAATTTGATATACTTAACTCGATGTCCCGAATATAAAAGTTAGTGTATGTTGATCCTGAATCGGTATAATGCTTACTGAATTTGTCGAGGGGATTGTACACACCAATTACATCTAAAAATAAGAAATAAAACTCATTTAGGTGACCATATATAGATGCAGTTATATGATTTGTGTTTATTATAAAGTTCTACATATAAGTATTATTATATTACTAAACTCTTACCAATGAGATCTGTAGTACTTTTTCCATCAGGGCAGTTGTGAATATCGTTGAAAGAAGTAAAATTATAAATGTGTAGGGGAAAGTCCTTATGGTCTTTTAATTCCTGACACTTAACCTTAGGGGGGTGTCCCCGATATGGATTCTTACGGATTTTAAAGGAATTTAGAATTCCATCAAAATCCGGTGTCCTCAACCTGGATTTTCAAAACTCCTTTAAAATCGGGGTGTCCTCAATTACTTCATGGATTTGTTTCTCTGAGATTTCAACTGATTTTAATGGAATTGGTATGAAAAATAACACTAATCCAATTCCACCCATTCTCTTTGTCTCACCCCTCGGATTTGAAATCCACCCTACCAACCCGACGTACCCGGTACTTATCTATCACGTTCTTCCGCAGCGGAGAGCCACTTTCCTCCCCATTCTTCATCCGCTGCAGACCTTGTAATACTCGTAAAAGGCGGTGTTCTGGGTGGCGAAAGGCTCCCACGAATAATTAAAGTTGAGTGTTGCAAAATTGAGAAGATGACCGACCTGTGTGTTCCAGGTGTCTAAGGAGTTTCTATGAAATCCATATGATTCCATCAAATAGAATTCCATAGAATTCTATATGAATCTCATTGAATCTGTAGAATTCCATTAAAATCCATAGAATCTACAATCCTTTAAAATCATTTAAAATCCATGTTGTGGACACCCCCCTTAGTTCCTTCATGGAATTGTAACCTGAAAGGGTGTGATGCCGGTCTCCACTTTCCATTATTCGCCTTGACAGTGAAATTACACATGGCATACAACCCACCTTCTTCCAACTGGCTTTCAAATAGTTGAATTTCCGTACGGGATATAGATGCTTGAATGCGAACTTCCTATAAAAAGATTCCAAGGATCATTAAGAACAATTATCATTTGGATAAAAATATCTATAAAAGATGTGTAGGATAAGATACTTAGATTTCTTAGAAGTTTTAATGATTGAATCCAATGGAAGAAACTTAGCACATTTCATCGAATAGTATGGTTTGTCATTTTCACAAAGCAGATGAACAAATCAGTTTGATTAAAGATTTGTTCTTTAATTAACATATCAGCTTGATGGTCACAGACTCACAGCTAGGTGTTAAATTAAGATCATTATACTGGATAATTAAATTCTGAACTGTGAACAAATATATGTTCATTAAAGCCATTCATATATTAATATTCATTACAGATAGTATCCATTACAGACATATTCATTACGAATAGCATCACAGATAAACCAAAACCATGTTAGCAATGCAGCACAAATACTATGAATAAAAGTGACTAAACATATTTCAGCACTTTTAAATTTCTCAATGGTTTAGTTCACATCAACTAAAACAAATTCCATGGATTTTTTACATTCTCATCAAGTAAAACCATATGCTATTCATTACGAATAGCATCACAAATAAACCAAAAGCATATAATCAATTCAACACAGATACTATGAATAAAAGTCACTAAAACATATTTCAGCACTTTTAAATTTTTCAATGGTTTAGTTCCCATCAACTAAAATAAATTCCATGGATTTTTTACATTCTCATCAAGTAAAACCACATGCTATTTATTACGAATAGCATCACAAATAAACCAAAAGCATATAATCAATTCAACACAGATACTATGAATAAAAGTCACTAAAACATATTTCAGCACTTTTACATTTTTCAATGGTTTAGTTCCCATCAACTAAAACCAGTTCCATGGATTTGTTACCTTCTCATCAACTAAAACCAATTCCATGGATTTATTGCCCCTTTGTGCATCATCATATGGCACCATCCACTTACGAACAACACGTAATAAAAAGGCTTCATGACGTTGGAGTTGAAGTGTCACGTCAGATAAAATCTTTTTAACGGGAGGCATTGTTTTGTGAACTAAAGGGGTATGGGAACTAAAGGGGTCTCACATAATGAATTTAGAGTAAGGGGTATTATATATAGCTATGGGAAAACTATAGACGTAGAGTTGGTGTAGGACACTTCAAGTAAATAAAAAATCAGTTAGCAGAGAGAGAAGTATCGAAAGAGAGATAAGCTGCTCATCCTATTATTTAGGAATAGCTTACGTTGAGGGACTCTAATCATTAATTGAATGCTAAATAGGGATGGAATTATTTAAAAGAGAAATAATCCTCCCTAAAAAGAGAGATAATTTTTTAGAGAGAGATAAGTATGGAGGTCTCCTTTTAAGTTTAGAAGAATATAAATTTATAAAATCAGTGTGGGGAGAATAATGGGAAATTTTTAGATAAATAAAAATATATAAAACTTACGTTAAGCAGCTCATCATATTATATAGGAATAGCTTACGTTGAGGGACTCTAATACATAAAAATATCTAATATAGCTCATCCTATTATATATGTATGAAAATATCTAAATTAGCATAATTTTAGTAGAATATTACTAAAACATAAAAATGTTAAAAATCAATTAAAAAAAATCATTTCTGAAGGTGGTTGAATTTATCTATTCACATGTGGGGGAAATTTGTTCTGGACTTAGAAAGAAGGTAATACATTGTCAAAAAAACAGAAGCTCTGAAGAAATTACCATTGAACTTGATTTGAAATTAATTAAATTGGATTCGAAATTTAACTAAATAAGTATAAAAAATTGCGGATGTTTCAGGGTGTCGTGGCAGTAATCTTTCCTCCGGCAAGGAATTTTTGTAAAAAACAGAATTTGAGAAGAAATCCATCTAGAATTTCCACAGAATTGTAGGAATGATCAAGAATAGTTGTCAAAAAGAATAGAAACACTTAGGGTCGTTTTAGAACTCAGTAAATGCTACGGAGTAGAAACACTTACTGTCAAAAAGAGTAAAACAGAATTTGAGAAGAAATTACAAATCAAGTTGATTTGAAATTAAAGAAAGTTGATTTGAAATTAACTAAATTCGAATAAAATCCTGCGGATGTAAATGAACGTCTTGGTGATGGTGATGTTTCATTCCGGCAACGATTGACCAAAATTGGCGTCGAACATCTTCGTGGCTCCGGGGATATTGTCGCGGTGATGTTTCATTTTGGCATAGAAATCCTTGTCGGCAATGTAAAATAGACAAAAAGAAATGGAAAGAGAACTCCAGAAGGCAAGAAATGAGATCTGCGATAATGCAAGAAATGAAAGATGGAAGGAGGAAAGAAGGTTTACCCAGATCCATGATAAGTGTATCAAAAAAGAAAGGGAAGCGGTGGTGCAGATCAGGTTGAAGTGAATGTTCCAGATCAATGAAAAGAGGAGTGCAGATCATTAAATCTCAACGGTGTAGATCATTTCAAATGAATGGTGCAGATGCATTTGTATTCCTATTAAGTATAAGATAGGATTAATGACAATTGAAATGTTTCAGATGTGATGTGTACTTGGAGATCTCCATTCACGATTCTCAAGTTTACGATTTTTTATGGCTTCTTATTCTCATGTTACTTCCACATAAAATAATCTCAAATAATCTCCAAAGCTATCAATTTCTCCCCATCCATGATCTTAACTTACCCAGATTTTTTTACAAAGCTAGTTATTATTATTTTGCCTAGAAAATGGGAAGAAGAGCCTAGAAGTTTTGAATAATCTCAAAATAATTCAGCGTTAGAATTTGATACCAGATTATTTTATCAAATAATCTCATAAAATAATCTCAACTCCTCATCCATGATCCCAAAAATATCATCCACATCATCAAAATGATCCCAAAAATAATCTATGGATGGGGATGCCCTTAGGGAGTACTATCTAAAAGATCGACTACATGATGTATTTTTCTAATATTGTTGTGATGCTTCATTATCTTAACAGGTCATTATATGGAACTTAAAGCTTCCTATTCAAACAGGATTTTTTTCCTTCTGATTTCATATATATTGACTTTAAAGAACAATCTTTAATCCACGTGTACTACGTATTTTTCATAGGCAAAGAAGAGGGCACATTTAGTGACTAAATATTCTTTACATTTTCAAAAACATTTAAGGGCACATTTAGTGCCTAAATATTCTTTTTTATAACTGCAATTTTTTATTCCATAGCAGCCAAGGGAGAAAAACACCATGAATTCAAACGCTTGTCCAAGATTGGATCAATCAAAATACCATGAAGTTGTGAAATACTCCCTCTGTCGCATTTAAATTTTTACACTTTTCTTTTTGACATATCCCATTTATTCCTTTACGTTTTCTTTTTAGGCAATCTCTTTTACATTAAATTTTCTAACTACCCTTCACTAATTAACCATCCACTTTTACATTTGAGTGGATAACATTAATTTTTCCCAAAAGTCTAACGACATGAAAGACATTTGTTCTTCTATTAATTGAGCTCCTAAAGTACTGTGCCAAAAGGAAACGTTATGTTATATCCCAGATGGAGGAAGCATGACTCTTTCGTGACCTTTTCAGATTTGGATAAAAAAGGCTCAATTCATAATTTCGGATTTTAACAGGGAAATATATGATGCGCAACATGCTTCTTATCTTGCGGACCAGTGGGCATCACATGCTTTTATAGTGAAAAGAGGCACCTATTAATATCTAAATATCTACTATAATGCGAAAATTAAAGGGTAGAAAAACAGAGCATTAGATTTATTAATTGTTTCTGTGCTTTTCAAGAAAAACTCTTACTCCGTAATATTTTAGTGAGATATTATTGTTTTAGGGCTTCTCATGACTGTTTTCATACCAGACATACGACGGCTCAAGCCTCGACGCCAAAACACTAATGACTGTTTTTTCTAAGATTCATTGGAATCATAAGAGTGGCCGTATTTTCCCATAAATTAATACATACTCCACAGTCATTATTACTCTGACACGGAACTGTTATTAAAATACTACCGTTTGAATGCTCTTACTGGAACATTCTACCGCAACTTCTCTGTCCAAAGTTTTGGGCGGGAACTTGCTCACCAAGTTTTCTTTTGCTTTTATATATTAATAGATTACAAAACGTTAGACAAACTGCATACGTTATGTCATTAACCAGTTCATGTTCAATCTCGCTTATTCTTCTTAAGCAAAAGCTAGTGGGCACTAGAAAATGTATGGATAAATCTCTACAAATAAACATAGTAAATATTATTTAAAATTCATTTAAATAAAACGACTACAAAACTCGATACCAATACCTTAATGAGATTCCAAATTTCCACTGCATCAAGTTCTGTTCAGATTAGGTTTGAGTAAACGAGAGTTTGTTGAGTATTTCAATTATTTTTTTATGAATATCATATATGAGTCTTATGAGATGCTAAACTTGTGAATGAGAGATATTTAAATAATCAGGGGCGGATATTTAGCTTCAGCCCAGCCCAATTTGTTTTAATTAGTAGTGGTCCCTAATTAGTACAGGTATATTCTGAGCCAAGCAAAATTAATTCTCGGCCCAGCCTAAAGTTAACTCCGGCCCAACGCTCCACCCCACGTCCCAGCACTTACCTGCGCTTCTCGGCCTCTTGACTTACGAATCTGCGATTGAAGTCCTACGAACTGCTAAGCGAGCCTGCTACGAGGATGAAGGAGCTGCGAAGTGAACCTGCGAGGAAAATAAGTATATGGTTAAATTAATAGAAAAACAACTTTAAAATAAGAAGAAAGATAAAATAGACTATTTAGAGTGAGCTAAGCCAGTAAATGAGTGGGCTGATTTCTCACCAGGTGTCCTTTCCTTCATCGCCGAGAACGTGTTGTCCAGTTTTCTTTTCCAGACGAGGGTTTGAAACTTAGTGATAGTTTCCTAAAACAATTTTGACCTCAATGCTCCTCGGATTCTTTGGCTACGGTGGCGGCACCTTCTTCTTAGATATCTTTTCCAGATCCACATTTTCCGGCAACACAAACTTCCCCATGAACTTGCTTACTTGCCCACCCGCCATGCCGTCCTCGCATGCTTGACCCCCTCCTTCTCATCCGCCTATCCCTTTCGCTCCACACTTATAGTCATGACATTGTCACTCGATACGTAGCTTGATGTCACCGAACTTCAGCCCCCGCACATTGATTATGTAGATGTACGAATGAGCAAATGACTCCTTCTCATCCGCCTCATGTTGTGGATGAAGAATCAAAGAAACCAAGAGGCTATAGTGTCGCCATTTGAAAGCATGAAGGTCGATGACGGATTGGTTCTGACAAATTTCACATCAAGTACCTTTTATTTGACCTACTGGGTTCTTTTGCATTAGCTTTAGTTATGTTAACTTCAAACATAATACCGAATTTGACCCATGATTATGACGATTTTGAGTGGGAAATTTAGCTGATTTTTCATGCCTTCCAGACATACTCATATTTTCATTCTTCTATGATGCGTTAATGTTCTTAATTACGTTGCTCTCATTTGGCTAATTAACTATTCATGCAGATTCATTTTTACATGAGTTGAACTCCTTTTGCTACACATGCGGATTCATCAATTGTGCATATTTATAAATTTTATTCGTTTATCTTTTGATTGAAATTTAATTCTTAAGTTTCCTTCAATTGTTTGTTCAAGAAAAAGTTTCCTTCAATCGTGAATTTGCATATATTCTAGTGAAAAAACTTTATTGTCTAGGCTTTGAGTGACGACTTTATGGGAATAAAAACAAGTAGGCTGTATAACAACTTGCTGTGCAAAAGATTTGTGGTGTAAATTTGTGGTGTAATTTTATTTATCAATTTTTATCTTTCCAGAGCCTTGCCCAAAATTTTATTTATTATTTATTATTGGCTAAAGGGTCAAATAGGTACATTAACTAACTTAAAGTGTTTAATTAGCCCCATATTTAGGAGGTTCTGTCCGGCAGTCGCCAATTGGGGCGGTTCCCGATGGAATTTTTTGATTAAATTTTTTGAGAATATTCTTCATTAAGTCTAGTTTACCCATATCAAATTTCAGCTAAAAATTAAATCGGGAAGGCAGTCAAATGATTTCCCGAAATGTACTGCGCTTTTTAACTGCGCGGTTATCTTCAAAAAATCATTTGACTACCTTCCCGGTTGATTTTTTAGCTAAAATTTGATATGGGTAAACTAGACTTAATGAAGAAGATGCTAAAAAAAAATCATTAAAAAATTCCACAGGGAACCGCCCCAGTTGGTGACGGCCGAGCAGAACCTCCTATATAAGTAGCTAATTGAACACTTTAAGTTAGTTCATGTACCTATTTGACCCTTTAGCCTTTATTATTACTCATTCTCATTAGACTTTGCCAACTATCCTTTTTTGTTTGTCCCAAAAAACTTTATCATTTCATATTAAAACAACTATTTTGTGGTCCTATTTTGTGGTTTTGCACACTTTTTTTTGCTCACAAATCTCAACCAAATAGCTCCTACTTTCCTTAGGTTTAAATAAAATTCATAGCCTTTGCCCAAAATGAATATGCGGCCCAAGCCTACTAACTGAAGTTCCACGCTTGACACTTCCTAGTTCCCACCTGCGAACTAACGAAGCGGAAGCGACGAAGACATGAAGCCCTCAAGAGTCTGCCCGGCCATCGTCGACTGTCCAGCTGCTCAACCGATCTGCGCCGCCTTCCAGGGTCCTGCTTTGGCCGTCGGCATCCGTGCGAGGCTGTGACCTGCGTTGGCGCTTTGCTGCCTCCTGGCCTGCACAGCGGCACTCCAGTGTCGCCTCCAGCCTCTAGTTCTCCTCTAGTTCTCTTCGACTGACCGACTCTCCCAATCCAGCCTGCCTCCAGCCCTCCAGGAGTGCAGCTGTCCAGGTATTACTCTTTTAATCTATTACTTTGTCTATTACTTTCTTTAGTTTTTGATTTCGATTGTAAATTGAATTTTATAGTAGGTAATAAAACGGTGTTTATTCATTAGAATGATTAAAGATATTATCAATTTAGTACATGTCTTGATCCTATCAATTTAAAATGTACTACTTAACTCATAATTGTAGTCCTTTTAATTTTAGTACATTATAATTTCATACAGAATTGGAAATTAGAGAATAGTTTTATATACAATGAACCGAATATTTACCTAGTACAAAATGGAGCTTGAGTTTGGTTTGTTAGATTTTTTGTGTTCGATTTGAATGCTCCATAAGCTCGATCGAATGTAGAAGTTTACACTATGCTCGTTAATAGACTGGTGTTGAATTATTCGATAAATACTCTAATCCTTAATAATCATTAATAGATTTATAAAATCGCACTAAACGTTTAAATTTTAAAATATATATCTAAACTATTACAGTGCACTAATTCATAAGTGACCAATAAGATCGAGTCCGGATCGAACCAAACATTAGTATGCTCGAAGTCTCGAACTGATAGAAACCATGATCGAAAGAGGGAAATTGATGTCTACTAAGAACGTAAATGAAGAAACTGAAAGGAAACGATACAAGATCAACTTGTCTTTCCTAAAATCCCATCCCAAGTCCCAAGTTCTGCCTACCCTTTGCCTTTTACCTGCTGACAATTAAAAGACAAGCCATTTCCTTTACTTATCAAAGGTATAATTTAACATTAATTTTATTTGTTTATATTAAACCAGCAACACTATATAGTAGGAAGTTTCCTGGTATTGTTAACATTAATAAGAGAAACAGGATGTCATGATGTGCTAAAATTTTAAATAACTTCCATAGTTAATGTTGTGAATAGATACTTTTTAAGCATTGAAGACCAAGATTCAAGGTCCCTGAGTTGGAAGCTATAGTGAAAAAGTAGATATGTTCTTCTTTCTTACTTTTGTCCTTTCCTTGAAAATGGGTTAATCTTATGAGTTTATATGGCAGGATATTCCATTTCATGTTTTTTTGACAGAATCAAAGTTGGTGAATGCGACCACAGTGTGTTCATTGCTTTATATATTGCAAGCAAGTATCAACCGAGTTTTTTCTCCTCACTTTTAGGCACATCCTAGATCTTAATTCTTGATTCTTCAATTACTATGCGAATGAATCTAACTTTATTTTTATTCTTTTAATTTGACTCTTTATTTAATTCAGGGTATTGGTAACACAAAAGATACCTCAACTGTTTCTCACTACAGACCACCATAAGCCAAACCACACAAATGTTTGCTACTTTTCTAAGGGTAAATTATTAACAGATTTGATATGACCACAGTTATTTTGATTAACTCTGTGTTTTAAAACACATATGTTACGTCATATGACTGATGCTATGGTTGCACATCTTTCAAAATTTTCTCTTTATTTCAACACTATAATTATTTTATAAATGCCCCCAGTATTCTTATTATATGAATGTTTAAGATACAGAGATTTCACCTTTAACTAAACCAGCTTCCATTTGTAAAGGTTTTGGAAATGATTAATATCCTGTACTAAATACATTATGAGTTAAGTATATACTACACCAAATATATATTAAAATGATTTTAATCTATTTATCCTCAAAAATACGAAATGATAATCTTTTATGATATTGATGTGGAATCCAGTAAGGGCATCTACAAAGCAAAACCCCTTACTGTGGTCTAAATATTTTAAGCATTTGTATTTTATTTTTTTCGATTTCACTCAAAAGCTAACCTTCTAAAATTCATAAATTTATAATCATATGTTGGGCACAAATCACACGTAGTGTGTACTCTGCTAGTACTAGTAATAAATACGAAGTATAATTAATTCAGTGATAAAAACACTCTACAATTCCATTTGGGGCTCTTCTAAAATGATAAAATAGCAAATTCTAAATAGCTTATTTCTTGATTTTCTTCCAAATGGCTAAACCAAATCTGGATAGCTGATACCAGTCTTTGCATCTGCCATCTGTGTGCATCTGGCCATAGCCTGACACTCTGACTTTCTTCTTTGCCGTCGACAGTTGCTGTCGAGTGGGGACTGCGGATTCACAAGTCCCATGTATCGTTTCAGGGGACTGTTACTGTGTGTCGATTCACAAGTATAGTTTGAGAGAAGGGGACTAAAGGTATGTTTTTGAAATGAGAAACACCTTGACTCAATTAAAAACTGTTAAAAATTTAATTTAAATTAAGAAATTGTTAAAAGTTTGCAATAATATTAAGAATTTTTTGTTTGAATTCAAATTCTTAAATGAATTTATTGTTTGAATTTATTAAAAATTGAATTCAAATTCTTAAATGAATTTCTAGAGTTTTCTTAATTTGTCCCTATTTTTGGTTTACTTTTGAACTTTAGAGAGTTTTAAATCTGTGAATGAGAAGTATTTAGAGTTCTAAGTTCCGAGGTTCTTTTTCTTCTAATTTATTGAAATAAACTACTACGGTCAACTTTACATTTGAATTTATTTATTTTGAATTGAGTTTGATATGTATGTGAAATTCTGAATATTTGTGATGATTTATTATCTCAGAATCGCAGGATATTTATACAACCTATTGGGGAGAGAATCTAAGACATTAACTATACAATCTTCTAATTTAGACAATAGAATATCCTATTTCTAGAAAGAACAAAATACTGGAGATCTGATATTAATACCAAATCAGATCAAAATACAGCATTAAATATTCTCTAAATTAGGAAATAAATCCACACTCCCCCCTCAAGCTGGGTTGTGAATGTCAAACATCCCAAGCTTGCAATTTAATTCTTCAAAAACAGTTCCTGGTAGAGCTTTTGTAAGAATGTCAGCAGTTTGAAATTTTGATGGAATATAACATGCTTGAATGATGGAGTTCTCTATCTTCTCAGTAATGAAGCGTCTGTCTATGTCAATATGCTTAGTTTTGTCGTGATGAACGGGATTTTTGGCAATGCTAATAGCAGCCTGATTGTCATAAAGCATTTGTATAGACCCTTCCTTAAATACCCCCAGCTCCCCAAGTAATCTTTTCAGCCACATCCCTTTACATATGCCAAGAGCTAGCGCTCTGAATTCTGCTTCAGCTGAACTTCTAGAAACAACTGACTGTTTCTTACTTCTCCATGTTACTAAATTACCCCAAACATAAGAACAATAACCAGAAGTACTCCTTCTATAAGTTACATCTCCTGCCCAATCTGCGTCCGTGTAGACTCTGATTTCTTTATTGTCATTCTTCCTAAAAAGAAGACCTTTTCTTGGAGTCATTTTGAGGTATCTAAGGATTTGTGTAACAGCTTCCATGTGTTCCTCGGTTGGATTATTCATGTATTGGCTCACCACACTTACAGGGAAACCAATATCAGGTCTAGTATGGGATAGATAAATAAGCCATCCAACTAGCCTTTGATATCTCCCTTGTCCACAGGTGCTCTGCGAGCCAATCTTTCTGTTAGAATCCATAGGAGTTGAGGCTGGTTTACACCCAAGCATTCTTGTTTCCTTGAGTAAGTCTAGAACATACTTTCTTTGAGAAGCAAAAATGCCACGCCTTGATCGTGCAATTTCCATACCTAGGAAATATCTAAGATAACCGAGATCTTTAATCTCAAATTCCCTTGATAAAAAACTTTTCAAGTTTTCTAGCTCTTCCTTGAAATCACCTGTAAGTATTATATCATCAACATAAACTATCAGGACAGCTATCCTTTTATCTTTTGAGTGTTTCACAAACAACGTGTGATCTGCCTCACATTGAATATAGCCATTTTTAATGACTGATTAAGTAAACTTTCCAAACCATGCTCGTGGAGATTGCTTAATGCCGTATAGAGATTTCTTTAGTCTGCATACTTTATATCTGTTGGATGAACACTCAAAACCGGGTGGAATATCCATGTACACCTCTTCTTCCAGGTCACCATTCAAGAAAGCGTTCTTCACATCTAGTTGGTGCAACGACCAGTCTCTATTTGCAGCAACGGAAAATAGAACACGAATGGTATTAAAGGGGGTGTATTGTATTAGGAATTAGTAGCAAAATTTTAAAAGTTCATGGATTTTAAAAGTTTAGGTGTATTCAATGTGGACCTTTAAAAATCTACAAAAGTCTAGGTGTATTCGATGTAGACTTTAAAAGTCTATAAAAGTCTAGGCATATTCAAAGTTCCGTTTATTCTTATGGATTTCTAAAATCATGGATTCTCGTGGACTTTTAACTCATTTTTAGTACATTAATTCTCCTCACTAAAGATTTCCGTGGACTTTTCTTATATCGGTTCTTCATCCCGTCCCCCACCCCACCCCGCAAACTCTGCTCTTCTTTAGCCAAGTCACCCCTTCCCCTTCGATCTTTCTTCTTCTTCGACCTAGCTCGCTCCACCCCTCTCCTTCCATTCTTTTTCTTCTTCAGCTTGCCCCCCCCCCTCGATTCTTTAATTCCATACTGGTTCGATTCTAGAAGTTTCTAGAAGAACTAGTATAAGAATCGATAATATTACATCAGTGCAATTCTGGTACGTTGTCACTTAACCATTAAGAAAATAAATATTTTAACTATTACTTTCTTTCATCGTTAAATCGCTAACACATAAAAATATAATTTTAAATTAATAAATATATAACCGTAAATAAGTACACAAAATTTTACAAGATAGAAATGAAAAGAAAACAATTATTAAGAAGATAAACTCGATTGCAACTGTGCTTGTACCACATGTAGCAATGAGTGTAACGGTTGTGTAAGGATTAATGTTATTACTCATTAATAAAATGACCAAAATTCTTGAGCATTCTTGAAATTTTGAGTTTTTTTAATAAAAATAAATTTGGATTCTTATGCTTCATTTATTCTTGTAGAACTTTGTGTTGCTATATGAATTACATTTGTTTCATTTATTTATTTATTTATTTGTTTGTCTATTTGTTTCTTATCATACTCTGTATTATACAAAGGAAATTATTCAGGGTAGGACTAAAACATACGGAGTAACATTCTTTTTAAAGTATGATCATATGTTTGATTTTCCTTAAATAGGACTAAATATTACATATTCACCCCTAATTTAATTAATTAATATAAGTAATTGTCCGTAATTCCCTTGCATAATCAAATCGACTTTGTTGGTGGCGGATCAGTTCGATGACGACAGCGGGGAACTCAAGTGACGGAGGCGGACGGGCAGATCGGTAGCGGCGGTCTAGGTGAAAATTTCGACGACCAGCAGTGGTGGTTCGCATTGTCTATGAACTTTTTGAAAGTCAATAAACTTATCCATGGATTTAAAAGTCCATAGAATTCATTCATAAAAAAATCTATGGATTTAAAAGTCCATTGACTTTTTTAGAAGTCCACGGATTAAAAAATATCCACCACAATCCATATTCAATACATCCCCCTAAGTTTAGCAACTGGAGCAAAAGTCTCTTGATAATCAATCCCGTAAGACTGAGTGAACCCCTTAGCAACAAGGCGAGCTTTATACCTCTCAATGCTACCATCTGCCTTATGTTTAATAGTGAATACCCACTTGCATCCCACTGGTCTCTTTCCAGATGGTAAATCTGTTATGTGCCAAGTTCCATTCTTCACCAAAGCATTGATTTCATCTTGTACAACCTTTTTCCAACTCGGATCAATCAGTGCTTCTTGAATTGTGTGAGGAATCTGTACACTATCAAGAGCTGAAACAAATGCTTGATAGGACGGAGATAATGTTTTATAGGACACAAAATTGCCAATGGGATGTTTAGTGCAAGCACGAACTCCCTTTCTCAAAGCAATAGGCAGATCATCATTTATATCAGTAACACTATCATAACTAGGATTACTCATACCTGAATGTATTTCTGGAGGATGTGAATCCAGTTCCAATTCATGACAGTCTTGTAGATGTGTCCGTTCTTTCTCAGGGTGCTTTCTTCTTTGATAAACACGAAGTTCTTTAGGTTCAAGATGAGAATTAACGACTGGTAATGGTTCAGACATGTTTTCAGTGACTTGAGATGAGCTAGATGAATTAAATGGAACTTGATTTGCTATGACATCTTGACGTTTTTGGACTGAGTTCATAGGTTGGGGACCGGTGAGTTCAAGAGAAGGTGCAATAGGTGAGATTTCCCTTATAGGAGTATGACTGTTTGAAACGGTTATTCTCCAAAGGTGAGATTCATTTGCATTCTCCCTCCGAATCTCAGATTTGTAGTAAGCTTGTGATTCAAAAAAGGTGACATCCATAGAGTTATAGGTTTTTCGTGTAGTAGGACAGTAACACTTATAACCCTTTTGATTAGATGAATAACCTATGAAGATGCATTTGATAGATTTAGGATCTAACTTACTACGATGTTGTGAATGAAGATGGACAAAAACGGTGCAACCAAAGACCTTAGGATCAACAAAGCTAATGAACCTTGTATGAGGGAATATTTCCAGAAGAGTTTGACACGGAGTTTGAAATTTCAGCCCTTTAGATGGCATCAGATTAATGCGATAGGCAGCGGTGAGAACTGCATCCCCTCAGAAAACTTTAGGAACATGAGTCCCAAATATGAGAGATCGAGCAACTTCAAGAAGATGTCGATCTTTTCGTTCAGCGATTCCGTTTTGTTGAGGGGTGTCAACACAAGAACTTAAATGGATGATGCCATGTTCTACCAAATTCTACCAAATAGGTACCAAGAATAGAATTAATAAATTCTTTGGCATTGTCAGTTTTGAGTACTTGAATCGTAGTGTGAAACTGAGTTTGAATCATAGAATGGAAGCGCTGAAAAATTTTCACTCACTTCTGACTTATTTTGCATAAGAAAAACCCAAGTTAATCTTGTATGATCATCTATAAAAGATACAAACCATCTCTTTCCTGTTATAGTGTTTATGCGTGAAGGTCCCCACACATCACTATGAATCATTGAAAACGGTTTGGATGGTTTATATGTTAATCTAGAATAACTAGTCCGAGTGTGTTTAGCAAACTGACAAATCTCACAACAAAAAGAACTTGGATTTTTATTCAAGAATAGAGAAGGAAACAGTTTTGACAAATACACAAAATTTGGATGACCAAGACGATAGTGCCATAACATGATATCACTATCTTTATTAGACAAAGAAACTGACAGACTATTCAAAGAAAGAAAAG